GCTCTGCCTCTCACAGGCTCTTGGGCGATAGCTTTGGAAGCTGAGCCCTGTAGATATGGTGTTTCTTCCTCTGGAGGAGAAAAGTTCCATGGATCCAAGGACAGCCATTAGCTAAAGGCAAAGATGGTATAGTAAGAATGGTCACCTTTCTACAAAGGCTGTGCTAGGAGGCCTCATAAAGTGTGTAATAACCCCAAAGGGATACATCAGTACAAACACCCCTTAAGATGAAGCTCTGGAGGAACAGACGAGAGCAATCAATCACGATTCTGACCATCACAGGAATAAGGATGTACATAGACCTGTTCACCGGGAATATAACAATAAAGAGCCATGCTACTAAGGCTAAAAGTATTTTTAAACTCCAGATTTATGAGACAAAACCCTTGTTTCTAAAGGTCTAAAAATATTCCTACTGCTTTCTCAACTACAGAAACTGCTTCATTTCCTGCAAATTGTTTTCCCTAATTCTGTTGGAGAATATCAACTTCATTAAAACTCTAAAGGCTTAATCCTGTGTTAGGGCTTGATGAGATCTCTGTGGGATGAAAGAAATCTAGAGATCACAGAAGCTACTGTTTTACAATGTCCTTACAGTGGGGATATCAATTGCTGGCAAGAATGTTCTGCTGTAAAGAAATGGGATTTAAAAATCACTAAATATCACTTTAAACTGTAAGATGTTTGCTAAAATGAAAACTTGTCTTACTGGGGTTCAGGGCTGGGCAGTAGTATGGTTTGTACCAAACATCAAACCAAATGTCATCAGATTAGATTAATTTTGTATTTCAGGCATAAGCCATTTAAAAGAAAGAATGGAATAAAGGCATTTGCTATAAATGTAAAATTTCAAATGTCAGACCATAACTTCTTCAATTTGTAAACATCTACTTTCCATTCTGTAGACCCCAAGAATAAGCATTCTTTCACATTTGGGTACATATTTCTTCTTAAAGATTTCATTTTTTTTTTTGGTAAGGCTGTCTTCCTTTGCATGAAAGGATATTTTTAGACATTTTGGCAAGTTTGATAGTAACATGTTGAATGAGTATATGCTGCTACATACTATTTTAAACATCTGCCAAAGGAAGCTGGAAGAACACTGAAATATTATAAACAACTATAATTTTATGTAAGAAACAAAGGCTCAGAAAACTAAGAAAGGAAATCAACAAAATCTGGTAAACTTACAACAGCTTCTCTTATTTATTTTTATTACAGATGTAATTTACCACATAATCCTAAAAGGGGAAATGGTATAATAGGCATAGTGCCTCAATTAGGAAAATTGTTCCACGCATTCTTAGGCGAGGAAATTTTCCTCATTGGTTTGCTGGCTTCCAGGAAGGGACTAAATTATACAGAGAAGCAATGGCAACTGCAGAGTACAGATTTGAGTGAAATCACGCAGAAATTCGGCTCATCGAGCTACTACCTACTTTACAGAAGGGCTCTCACTTGCTAAATGAGAATGACCCTGAATAACTCCCAAGCACCTTGTCCACTCTGACATTTTAGCAGTTCTACCAGTACCTTTCTCTTCTTTATGGTGGCTACTAGCGGTGGCTATGGTGTCACAGAAGAAATATTTGAAACTGACTGTTCCTCTTAAAAATAAAGCAAATGCTGGACATAATAACTCATGTGTAAGCATGGACTAAATGCCAGAGTGCAGTAAATTAAGTAGTACCCACATTTAGGTACATACTGTAGCAAGTTTGGCTCATACAGGTATTTTCTGTGACAGTCTCAGATAATGACTGTCACAGTTCTCTATCAGAGAGTGTGAGAACAGAAATCTTCTAAAGGCTTTTTCATGCTTCAATAGCCTCAGACAGCATGGCAGTTCAGGGTCTCCAACATTTTCATTTTCAAAGACCTACAGCACACACAGGGACTAAGATGTTAACAAGACCCGTGCTAGTTGCAGGATTTCACTATCACTTCCACTTCCGTGATGTAACACTGGCTAGAGGTAATGGCAGTTTCAGAGCTATTGTTGTCTTTACCAAAAGTAACCTCCTCTACACTATACATTCTAATTGTAAAATAATATGGACAATCCCACTAATACTACCCATCTCTAACAGTTAAAAAAGAATACAAAATTATTTCCATCAGTTGACAGCAGACACCCACCTTTCCTGCTACTTTTTTCTATGTTATACTGCAAATAGAACAAGTAAAAAAGGGGGGGCAGGGTGAATCTACTTCCAGTCCCAATGTTGCCATAAGCCAGCTTTGTAATATCTCAGGGCAACCATGAACCGGCCATGGCCCTCGTGCCTCTCATCTCTTCAAATCAGGGTGTTGCTGTCCAATGTCAGGGTACACCAGCACACAGTGCTCTGGAGATGGCTAGCTCAAAACAGAGATGTACTCCATGGCCCTGTGAGGTCCTACCTTCCCAGTTCCCATTTTTCCATTTTGTATCTTTGTGCCTTTAAACACAGAACCTTGCACCATGATGATTCCGAGATTCATGATGTGTTTATGAGGCTTCAGCAGTTTTCAGATGGGTAAGCTATGAAAAGAGACTGAGGGAGGCTGAGTGTATCTGTTCTGAAGTCAGAATCACCACCATGGCCTTTCCCATTAAACTAGGCTCAGTGGCTCAGCGGAACTCTCCTAGAAAGTCTGACCACTGGAATGTGTATCTCAGGGGCAGAAGCTCAGAGTGGAAATTCCTTAATCTCCTCCACTACATTTCCATTTATGACTCAGTTTGCAGTGCAGAAGGCTCGGGCTTGGGGCATGAATGGTTTTGAAAAATAACTCAAATATTAAGTGACTAAAAGATCAAAGTACTTGTAAAATGGAAAGTACTTGTAAAGCAGATTCCCTCTTTTGGTGTTGAGCACCTACCCCTCCAGAACCCAAATCCTCTGTGGAACTGGAATGTGGAAGGTGCTATCTCTCTATAAATAGTTTCATCTCATGCTATGTGAATCATGGTTGCTAACATAAAATCAACAGATTAATTGTTTGGCTTTGTTGGTAGCAATAATAGCACAACTACCATCTTCCCTAAAAGCTTTTCCACACCTCACACCCCCATACTTCGGAGCTAAGTGAGCTTTGGAACAAACTGAGGCCTTTGGTGTACAAATTCACTCCTGGTGTCCTTGTACTAGGAATGCCTTAGCAGTTGTGGTGTCTTTCTGCTAGGTTGTCATGTGACGTTTCAGCTGAAGGAAGTCACCACTTAGGATCATCAGTGAGTGCTGACTGTATGAAGAAGAGAAGCTGATTAAGTGAGCACCAAAGGAAACAACAAGCCCTGAGCATCCCCTGTGTGCTAATAAGACAGCAAGGAAATGGCCTCAGGCAACAGTACACCATTCCCCTTCCCAAGCAGAAACCAACTCGGTAAGCTGCTCTCCCTGCAAGTCAACTTCCACAAAGACAGAGGAATTTATCTCATCTATTCTCAGTTATGACCAACTTACAAGGCGGAGTAGGATCACCTCATAAATATGACATAACTATCCCAACCACAATGTGACAACCGTTCCAGGGACTGAGCCTGCGAGTCAAATTGGGTTGGGAATCTTAGAGTCCCTTGCAGACCACGTCAGCCCTGAGAGGAAGGCTCCAAAGGATCCCTGTACAACAAAATGAGGGATGTCTATTGTCCTCTGAAAAGAAACAGTCCATATGCTGAGATAATTCTGCTTCTGCTTCAGTCTTCACTTTACCAAACATAAAGGTCATATTAACTGGGCGTAAAGTTAAAGACTTCTACAGCTTCTGACTGAGGATCAGTAGTCTTGTTTACTCTTGAAATTTGCTGTCTGTAGGCCATCAGAGGATGTGAAAATGAGCCACAAATGGAGTGACTAATGCCATGAGAAGTCAAGGAAAAAATAATGCAAAGTGCCTTCATCCCAAGACTTACTCTGAAAATCCTAACTTATCCTGAGTCCCACTTGAATCCAACCTACACACTTTGTTTTTGTGGAAGTTGCTAACAGGCTAAATCATCCCAGGGCAGGCTCCCTCCTCAGCCCGTCCTTCAGTCAGCACTGAGGATAACTGCAGATTACATCTGACTCTGTGGCCACACACAAGGAAGCAAAGACTTGAGGAAAGCACAGACTTTGGCCTTTCACTTTTGTCTGCCAAAGTGTAACACTGTCCCAGCTTATGGTGGGAACTGTCACCTTGAAGCTGAAGGTCTACAGTCTTCCTTCTCTAAACAGAGACATAGGATAAGCCATTCGAACCCAAGGCTGCTGAAGAAGAACCGGTTTCAGAAAGGTCTTAACAAAGAAATGTCTGATAAATAAAATTTTCTTTACACTTTCTGAGGTCAGACTGCAGATATCACATAGTTGGCTTAATGCCTCAAAAGCGTTAGCGTACAGAGAATAGAAATCGGACAGGAAAGTTTGTAAAAACATCCCGTGATAGCTATCAACTGGTTGGAAGAAGGGAGTAGGAAGAGTCCTCTGTAGAGAGAAGAGGATGAGCATGTGAGAAAATGGAAAGTTGGGGAAGTGGGATACTTTAAGAGGCAAGATACCACGTGTTTGTTGGAGGCAAAGAAAAACCAAAATAATATTAAATTCATCTGGTACCTATTATCATTCATAATCATCTGTCTTGTGTGGTTATGAGGAATATAAAGAACTTCATTCTCATGCACTCCATAGTTTGTACGATTACTATATAGGTAGATGGATGGATGGGTGGAACGATGGGTGACTAATGAATGAATGAACGGATGAATGAACGAACGAACCAGTCACTACCCCCCTACAAGATTTCAGAACTTAGTTACATCTGTACAAGTGGCCCTCATACTAGTCAAAGTGTGGACTGATAAAAGCAGAAAGTGTGTTCCCGAATATGGAGCGAGCCATTAACCAGCACAGGATTGTTGAAAGAGTGGGCCCGCACGGAAGAAAGGAATTCCGATTCCCTTCGACGAGCAGCTCCCAGAAGCTTTTGAGAAAGGGGCTAGGGGTGTCAGCCACTGGGAGCCCGCTGCTACTGACCTGGTCTCCGCCTCACCGGCCTCTTGCGGCCGCTGCAGAAGCGCACTTTGCTGAACACCCCGAGGACATGCCTCTCGCACAGGGAGCGCCCGTCTTTGCTGGGGCTGGAGCGGCGCTTGGAGGCAGACACCCGGTCGCTGTTGGACTCCCTCGCCTGCCGCTTCTGCCGGATCAAGGAGCTGGCTATCGCCGCAGCCATAGCTGCTCAGCGCGGGCCCGAGGCCCCGGGCTCCACTGCGCCCTCGGGTTTGTGCTCCGCCGGGATGAGGGCAGGACCTCGGGGGGCCTGAAGGAATAGGGCAGGAGCGGGGAGGCAGTGCTAACGTTTGAAACGGTCGCAGTATCGAAAATCTGGAGCCCACAATGTTAGTCGGAGTCTGGGCAGTGGTAACAAAATGTGTGAAAATCCAGATGTAAACTTCCCCAACCACTGGCGGCGGGGGCGGGGCGGTCCCAGGCCTTCCTGCGAAGTAGACGTTTGCACCCCAAACTTGCACGCCAAGGCGATCCACGTCCAAAGGGCAGTGGAGAGTTTGGTCACACTGCGTTCAGGGTACCAAGCGGAAAGGGGGGAAAGATGTCCAAAATAACAAGCTGTGCCCCGGTTGGAGAGGCGCAAGCGTTGTAAGGTGTCCAAAGTATACCTACACATAAATACATTGAAAACCCGTTTACAAGGCAGAGTCTGAAGCGAGGCGAGATGCGTGCCCCTGGCTTGAAATATATATATATACTAAAAAGTGAATAAAACGTTCCTTTAGAAAACGAACCACCAACCGCGACAGAGAAGGGAAAGGCAGCAATTTAACTCCCTGTGGCCCGCGGTTCTGAAGATTAGGAGGTCCGTCCCAGCTGGGTGAGGTCTACGGAAAGCATCGCACCGGCTGCGGTTCTCCCGGGGCGGGGGGGCCGGCCTCCCCACTTCTGGAATTCCAAGAGGCGAGAAATGGGAGCGGTTAGCCAGACTCGGGGTAGGGGCGCGGGGCGGGGGCAGCTGTTTGCAGCTGCGGTGAGCGCGCTTCTCCTCCAGAAACACTGCAAAGAGAGCGGGAGACGAGGGGATGCGGGGGAGGAGCAGTGGGAGGGAGGGAGATCCTCGAGGGCCAAGCACCCTGGGGATCCGCGGGGTCCCGAGAGCTAGCGCCCTCGCTCGCGCTCTCTCTCTCTGCCTGCGTTCCGGCAGGAGACGGGCACAGTTGGTGATTATTTAGGAAAATCCTAGATCTGGAATGACTCAGTAGTTTACAGAAGCCCCTCCAAAGGCAGAGCTGCCGAAGGTGTCCTCCCCAGCTCGGCGCCCACACGCCTTTCACCGGTGCTAGCTGCCACCGTGCGCTCCGGGCCGCCGCACCGAGCCGGTCTCCACGCGGGCTCCGAGCGAGCCGGGGCAGCGAGGGACGGGCGCCCTGGCAGGGCTCGGGATCAGGTCATCGCCGCGCCTCCCGGACCCCAGGCTCGCGCGCCCCGGAGGTCGGCAGCTCCCGGCCGCAGCTCAGATAGGGGTTACCCGGCCAACGCTGGGCCGCTCGCTCGGTCCCGCGCCGCCCATCCCGGCCGTGGAAGGAAGTGACCGCGCGCTGCTGCGAGCCCCCGCGCGTCCGCTCGGGTGGGGCGGGGGCTGGTGGAGGGCGACGTCGGCTCGCGGCGGCTGCGGTTCTGGGTCGCAGCTGCCCACCATGGTCTGGCGCCCCGGCGCAGGCAGGGTCCCTAGGCCGCCCTGGGCGACGGCGGGAGGCGGTCGCGCGCGCCACCTGGGCTCCCCCGGCCCAGCGCACGGACTCAGGGTCCAGGGACAGGAGGCTGGTACTGGCGGCCACCAACTCGCCCCAACTTGCTGCTCCGGAGGAGGCTGGGAGCCGCGGGATCGCGGGGCGCCCCCCGCCGCCTCCCCTAGACCGGGAGGGGGCGCTCAGGGCGGAGTCCCATTCATGGGCAGAAGCTCCTGGGCGCCGCCGCGGGCTATCTCCGCCGGAGCGCCAGCTCCGCAGGAAACTCCGGGCAGAGGCGACAGCCTCCGAGACGGCAGGTGGGACAAGGAGAGAGCAGCAGCCGGAGTTACTCCGGCTCCTTGGAAGCAGCAAAGCTTCCTGGTGGAACTGAGTTGGGGGTTGGGCTGGCGGAGAGCTAGAAAGCACGGCGCTTGGGTCCTGCTCTCTTTTCTCGCGCCCTCTGCTCCCAGACTCTCTCCTTCCTCCCCACCCCACACACCCTTCTCCCCCCTCTCTGTCTTCTGCCTCTCCCCTTTTCTCCTCTCTCTACGCAATCCTACGTGATTGAGGTTTGGATGAGAAATTCTCAGAGGCAGAGTGAGGGAACTGCAGCCTGGGTCGGCTGTGTCCAGTCCCTCCCTCCCTCCCCCCAAGAGAAAAACACATCCACGGGCTTGTGGAAGGACCCTGGGTGAGCAGAGTAGAGGCTGGTGCGGGTTGCTGAGAGATGCAGTCTGCCTTCTCTCCGGTGACCAGAAGCATGTAGCATTCTCCCTTCAGTAAGGAAGGGGACGCTGGAGAAGTACCAATGACCTGGTCTCCCGTATTGCACAGCCCACCACCACCGCCACATTTTGGAACGGCAAACTGTGTCCCCATCGTTTTGAGACCTAGATTTCGTGTTGCTGTCTGGAAAACTACAAAGCGGATTCAGTGCCTAGAAAGGTCTCAGTAGGCAACCTGCCTTGAGGGTGAATAGAGGTGGGGTTAGACTGATGTGAGCAAGGACAGCACAGCGAATGACAACCTTGGTGCGCACTGTTGTCTCCAGAAATGCTTGCCATGCTTCTGATAGGGAGACAGGAGTCATCCAAGGAAACACAGCGTTAGAGACTCTGGAAACCTGTGCTCACCCTTGGTTCAAGCTGTGATCTGGGAGTGGTCTTTAGTCCTGTTTTCTCTTCAAGCAGTCTTCAAATAGCACCGCTCTCTCAACATTCAGTGGGTCATTTCCAAAACAGGGACAGATACATACTAGAAAAAGGTTGGGGAAGATACCAGCCCTGTGAACTGCTAAAAAATGGACCCAGACCCAGAGGGGGACCTCAAAAATGTGGGTTCAATGTGCGTCCAAATCTACCGGCCTACCTGAGATTCACTTGGGCAGTGAGAAGGACAGGAGCTTGTGAGTCTGACAAAACAACACTGCTTAGCGATGAGGTGTCTGGCCTTTGTGGCTACTGGCTGGGCAGAGTAAAGGCTGGCACACAGGGGCTGGTGTGAAAGACAGGGGAGAGGGGGAGAGGGCTTCCAGCTGTCAAAGGGAAGAGCACAGCCGTTACAGCACCTCAGTTTGGCTGGATGGAGATGCTGGATTCATTCCTGGAGTATGAACCACACCGATCAAGACAGGCGACGGGGTGCACAGTGCACACTACATCTGACAGGGGGGGGAAGGAGGGGGATTGCCTGAAATCAATTGACAACACGGTCAATTAGGGACGTGTTCAGTTTCCACAAATAAAATTATTTTTCTTCCTTGGCTACAGGAAGACTTGTCTCATGTTTTCAGCAAGGCAGGCACAGATAGTACTAGCTGGCTTCAGGGCTAGGTGTGGGGGTTGGGGGGCTATCTTTCCCAAATCAACACCCAAACAGAAGAAAAGGTCATCTAAGGGGAATCTCAAGAGGCGTGAACGATATATAATGAGTCCCTAAAGAAATCAACTCAGCTTGGTCCCTTTCACCCTCACAATGAAGATAATTGTCCCCATCTACCTCACAGAACAAAATGTGCATATGTAAGCATTTTGAGGAGAAGAAAACACCAAATGAAAGAAAGAGTTGATGGTGGTGATTGAATGCCTGTGATTCACCTGCAATTCTTGCTCTAAAAAAAAAAAAAATGCAGATTCCCTATAAGAGTTTCTGAGAATATGAAGCAGAAATCTCTATGATTAAAGCATATACATCAGAATTCTTAAAAACTCTGGGTTTCAGAATGTAACTGTTTACTGTATATAATTACATACAGATAATACTGGAAGAATAAAGCAAGACTCAAAATTCGTTGCATTCCTCTAAATTGCAATCATCTGCCTCTACACTCCCCTCCCCCCCCCAAAAAAAAAATACTGGGCTATAAAGAGACTTGTCTTCTCAAATCTTTACTTTTCTATAGGCTGTGGGCAGTGAGAGTGCTTGATGGAGAGGGAAACACACCTAAAAGTGAGGGAAACTTGTGGAGGAAGAGATGAGAAATCAGCTCTTGCTATTTAAACTCCCTTTGTCTTGACATGTCATTATCAACTTTGGCATGTAAAGGCTAATCAATGCCAGGTTTCTGAGATACACGCTGACTGGTCTCTGGTAAAAGAATGGGATGTTTGGGTTTCCAGGAAATGGCAGAGACTTGACATTTTCACCTTGCACTTCTGCAACTGGTGGTGCATTCTAGCTATTTAGTCCTTAAATGTTTCATCAGCCCTACCATCTGCTTCACTTCCTCAGTAGAAAGAGTATATACACAGAAATCTGAAAAATGAATTAAACACCTAGATCCTGAGTTCATGGAGGTTGAACTCAGAAGAAAGATATAAATTAAGTTTTCATGAATTAATTCAAAGCTTTTCTCTCTGGTTCACTGAATTATAATCTTTCCCCAGTGCTTTCCAGGATATGTCCAATAGCTCTGTGTCTATGGATGGGAAGATAAATCAACCCCCAATGGTTGTGATATCTCAGATATATCCAAACCTTGATTTCTCTGATATCTGTTTTAGAATAAGTGAAGAATGTCCCTTTCCAATTTTGAAGACATCATGAGTAGGAAAAGTTTTAGTTTAGAGTAAGCTGCCAAATACACATCAGAAGGATTCTTATATAGCTATATTTATATCTCTTACCTCCAGTCAAACAAAATATAGACAGTATTAGTCATCTGCATATTTTAAAATTTTTAAAAAACACAGATTTAATTGTCTTTGGCTTGCTCACAGGCCAAATTTTCCAACTCCAAAATCAAATTAGGATTACCTCACATGTCCATTTTAAACACTGTATTGAGTGTACCTGGTATTCAGGATATGGGGTCAGTAACCTAGGGGAATTCTTTACCAGTGGCTCTCAACCTTCCTAGAGCTTTAACCCTTTAGCACAGTTCCCCATGTTGTGATGACTCCCCCAAGCATAAAATGATTTTGTTGCTGCTTCATAGCTGTAATTTTGCTACTGTTATGAATCATAATCTAAATACCTGATATGCAGGATGTCTGATATGGGACTGCTTGTGAAAGGGTATGTCAATCCCACAAGTGGGCACGGTTGAGAACCACTGTTCTATACACTTTTACAATCTCCTTACCCTCAATAAGAGTAAAGTCTATGCCACCATGTCCATTTGGGGCTCTTGGTCGTCCATTTTAAGTAAGCTACTGGATAAATTACTCAACCTACCCAAACCATAGCTGAAACACAATTAGATGAGATCAACACTCGCAGTGTTTAACCAAGGTCATAGAATGCCAAAGACTGTGGCGGTGATGTGCAGTGTGAGAAAGAGAGAGAATACCACCCTTCAGATGTCTATTTATATCAAGCCCGTGCCGTAAAACACAGACCTCTCAAGACAAGAAACTGTGCTGTGTGGCTCACACACATCATCCCTCCCAGACATAAGGTATTTAATGACGACTGGAAGTCTACATGGAGTGAGTGATTAACCTTGAAATGACAGAGATGATGTTCCTCAGTAAAACACTGTCAGTATCCTTGTCTGTTGGAAACACAAAGAGCCCACCTCCGCACATTCACCTCCCTTTTAAGAGATCAGCTGTTTGACTCAAAGTTGAGGAGCACTAGCTAGCTGGGCTTGACCACGGCACGCTTGTGGGGTAGGAGAGCTTGCCTCCAAGCATTTGGCTTGTACAGTCCCTGTATTTGAAGCCCCTTCACTCTTTCAGATGGTCAATTAAAGGAGGATGGGCAAAACAATATAAACAAGTACTTTCTAGTAATTCGTGATTTCTTTCTGTACCAAGCCCATTCCTGGTCCTTTGTTAAGTAATGGAATTGCTCTTTGTATATGCTTGTATGTTTTGGACACCTCTCAAAACAGGAAAAGAATAGATTTCATTTCTATTAATGATAGATGAAGAGTAATGTATTTACTGCTTTAAAAGAGAAGTATTCAAGTTTCAAAGCATTCTGTTAGCCAGACACAGTGGCATATGCCTGTAACCCCAGCATTCGGGGAGGCAGAGGCCAGTGGATCTCTGTGGGTTCGAGGCCAGCCTGGTCTACAAAGCTAGTCTAGAACAGCCAAGCCCACACAGAGAAACCCTGTCTTGAAAAACAAAACAAACAAGCAAAGCCCAAAGCATGTTTGTTTTAATTAGAAATATCAGTGGTAAGTTTCTTGAATTTCCCTAAATGCATCACAGTTACAGATAGGCTGAGTCCTTATAGCAGTCCTTGAAGTTGGGTTTGTCATAATGAAGAAACTGAGCATAGAGTAATCAAGTTATTAAGAGTTTTTAGAATACAAATTAATTTATTTTCATAGATTCTCTTTAACCATGATTTTGATATTGTTGGCCAATAAAAAAATAGAACGCCACTAATA